TGAAGACCTGCTGCTGGACTCAGTCCTCAGAACATGAAGACCTGCTGCTTCACTTCACGTGTTTATTCAAAGTTCAGTGGAGGTGGACTCAGAACCTGAACTGAGGAGCAGTTGTTAAAGTGGTCGTGGATGTTCTGTCGTGATGATCTGACGAGTTCTGTGAATCGTATTGATTGAATCACCAGTGTCACTATGGAAACAGGTTCACAAACAGAAACCGTAGAGTGAAAGATATTTATTGAAAAAAGCAGCAGATACATGAGTAGATTTTCTCATCAGGGAATGAAGCGGTAAATAAAATCATCACATCTTGTCCCACTGCTGAGACACGTCATCACTTCAACTTCTTTAACTCCTGAAGTTTTGACAGAATGATGTCAGAGAAGAGAAAGGAGAAGAATAAAGAGCTCCACATGATGAATCCTCTTGTTTAAAGTGCAGGAGCTGAATGGCTGTTGGTGTGAAACCCTTCACCGACGGCTGCTCAATTACAAGTACTGAGGTAGTTGTAGGAGCGATAACGGCAACGGCGAGAGGCTCTCTTCAACAAAATCCTGTTTGTTGAGAAGAAACAGTTTCATCAGCAACACACACGTTTCCATTTTTATTATTATACAGTCATCCCACTTATGTTTGTAGCACAGACTGAATAAAGCTCCCGAAAACAGTGAAGCCAAAATGTCTCGATTGACCCCTAGTGGCTGGTTACAGTAAAGGTTATAACCCTGCCTCCTCCATGTCAGCAGATGAGACATCGACCTCAGTAAAAAAAAAGTAGATGTTGAATAAATAGATGTTTTCTGTCATCCGATGTCATTCTTATCACACTGATTGTTCAAGGCCCTTTTAAGGGCAGAGGTTCAATTCCTCTACCGACCACTTGACATGAAGTGTCCTTCGCTGGGAGTGAACCAAAAGGGAGAAGGTTTGAAATCTGCCTTGAGGAACTGGGACACCACTGGTTATGTCATCAGCAGCTCACGTTATTATAGAGACAAACACTGTCATATGCACCCCAAGTGTTTTAGTTTGAGTTATTTGATGATGTAAAAATGGGCTGAGGCCTCATGAATACCGGAGATTTGTCGAGACCTTGATACCTCAAATGCTGAAGCACAGGCGCTGACTCTTAATGATTTCATCACCACGACAGGGCAGCAGATATTTTGGCTTCATTTCTGGACAGTGGGGAGACGTCCATCTTTATTTATAGTCCGTACAGCAAATGAACTTACCACCAGTAATGGGTCTTCACCAAGCATTCGATGTCGTCCTCAATGTTGTCATCGCTGAAGGCTTCAGGGGAAAACCAGGCACAGTTATCGATTTGCAAAATGTTGAATCATGTAATTATCGATGAAGACTCTTTTCTCTGTGATTCTCTGTGACACTAAGACTCACCTGCGCAGCTTGTGTTACACTTGTTTTTGGACCAGCGGTAACCGGAACTACAGAAGTAGCTGTCCGACAGCTGGAACAGTCCATAGAGCCCAAGGGACCTACGAGCAATCTTCTTTCTGCGCCTCCAGCCTCGAAGGGCTCTCTTCTGACGTTCTCCACCTTCCACCTCATGCTCATCCTCTTCTTGGAACTCTTCCTCCTCAGTGTCTTCCTCCTCCTCCTCAGTGTCCTCCTCATCATCCTCTTTTGGAACCTCCTCAGTGTCTTCCTCTTCCTCCTCAGTGTCCTCCTCATCATCCTCTTTTGGAACCTCTTCCTCCTCGGTTTCCTCATTACCCATCATGCTGTTGTCTAGCCCGTCTCGGAACTTGCTTTCTTCCTCTGTCATCACTTCCTCCAGGGACAAGTCTGATGAGTCAGCCTCGTCCCTGTTTGAGTCGGCCGCCCGCTTTAATCTGGCGATAACCGTTGTTCTGTTTGTTTCAGAGGTTGTCATTGCAGGGTTGGTTGGTCTGGTTAGTTTGACTGGTCTGGTTGGTCTGGTTAGTTCGACTGGTCTGGTTGGTCTGGTTAGTTCGACTGGTCTGGTTGGTTCGACTGGTCTGGTTAGTTCGACTGGTCTGGTTAGATTGACTGGTCTGGTTGGTCTGGTTAGATTGACTGGT